GCTTGAATTCTTAAATTTTGCTTTTTAAAAAATTACAAGCTTTCAAAGAGTAAGTTTGGTGTTTTGCTCATAAATAAACTACGTATGTAAGAGACATGGTTTGGGTTAGCTCTTTCAAGTATTTTACAAGTAATGCAAAGCCAACAGGGACAGCCTTTATTTCCAGTATGTGAAAAGTCAAACTAGATACAATCATCAACATTATTTTCTCATTTAATGGTTCTTCAAGCATTGTTTCTCCCCCAAAAGCATTCTGATAATACTACAAATTAATTTTGAGTTTGTGTGCAACTTATAGACCTAGTGACAATCTCGAGGGAATTTTGTAAATTAGCAATTTTTAATGTCTCTTATACTGGTTACATTTTAAAGTCCATGCTCTTTATGCTCCATGGCTTTAACTGCTTAGTCAGTGGGTTTCAAGGGAAGGAAAGGAAGGCACTTTTGCACTCCCCACAGGGGACATTTGGCAATGTCTGGAGACATTTTTGGTTGTCCCAACCCTGGCGACAAGAGTACTCCTGGAATCTAGTGGGTAGAGTCCACTAAATATCCTACAAAGCACAAAACAGCCCACTGCAACAAAGAGTTACCTGGCTCAAAATGTCCATACAATGGAGGCTGAGAAATCCTGATACTATGTAAACAATATATGTCTATGAAACACAATCATTTAGAGCCATGAGATGACCAAGACTATCACCGCAGCTGGAGGTACTTCAGTGGAGTAACAAATGAATGAGCTACCCCACCTTGTGAACAAACTCATCTTTCCCAACCTCTATGCATGATTACTCAGAGGCTCTCTAATATCCCATTTTCAGTGGGGGAGAAATCTACACATTTAAATTTTTACGCATATTTATTGATCTAAAAAACAGGTACAAAGACTGCCTTTCCTAATGTGAAACCTTGGAGCTTTGCTCTGAAACCTTGATCTGAGGGATGAGAGCCTAGGGCAAACAGTGTGAAACTTTAAAAACAACTTGGGAGAAAAACAACTTCTTCCTCTACAAAGAAGAACGATGTCAACCTATAAGGAAAAATGTACATGAAAAACTGAGATGAGGGGCTCCTGTGAGTATCCTGGTCACTGGGTCCGTTCATTCCCCAGATCTGGATACTGAGCCAGAAAATTGCTCATTTTTGCTCACACCAACTTGAATTTGGCTTCTGTCACTTGTAACCTAAGGAGTCCACACGAATGCACCACTGGATTAATAGAGGCAACTCAGGAGTTAGTGATAATGAAATAAAATGAAATGAAATATGAATTTTGAACTCTCAAGTTCAAAATGGGATCTTTGATTACAGGTTTAAGATAGAAATCCTAAACCACTCAACAAACATTTATTCCTAGCATGTATCTAATATTCTGTGCAAGGTGCTGGAAATATAAAGACAAGTGAAAAATAGCTTCTTCTTTAGAAGACCTCCCAGTCTTGTTGGGGGGACAGAAAAGTGCCATATGGTACGGGTGCTATTGTGTGAACCCTCAGGGGTAGCACTAACCCTAAAAGATCAAGAATAACTTACAGGTGGCGGCTGCTTAAACTGAGCCATGAGGGACATTATATCAGCAAAGCAGGGAGTAAGAGAAGCATTCTAGCTGAATACAGCATCAGTGAAGGCTGAGTGGAGGGGAACAGTAAGGTAAAACAGAGACACTGCTAGTGGTGCATTATAGTGGAGCATGGGGTGGAAGGGCTGGGCATTAGTGATGGGGGTGGGGGAGTGGCCAGGACGGAGCCTGGAATGGAGGCTGGATTTGCGTCTTGAAGGTCTTGATGAAAAATTGGGACTTTATTCCAAAAGTTTTGGGGCAGGGGTGTCTAATCTACGGGCCACGTGCAGCCCAGGATGGCTGTGAATGCAGCCTAATACAAAATTGTAAATTTACTTAAAGCCTTTTTTTTTTGGCTCACCAGTTTTTGTTAGTGTTTGTGTATTTAGTGTGTGGCCCCAGAGAGCTCTTCCTCCAGTGTGGCCCAGAGTTGCCAAAGGAGTCGCTAACGGATTTTGCGCAGGGGAGTGACATGGTGCATGAAGTAGCATTATGTAAAATGGGGATAATAATAGACACCTGGCAGTGTTGTTGCCAAAATTATGAATAATCTTTAAAGGTGTGATTACTGTGCTGGCAGACGGTCACGTCAATCAATGCATGCTCTTTCTGTTCCGAGTATTGTTAAGAACTTAGACTGGAGCATCCATTAGTTGGTGTGATGGCAACAAATTTTTACCTGAGGCTTAGACTCACTTTAAGGTAATCACCAGATCTGAAATCCAGTGGAATCTAAATTCCAGGTCAGTCTTGTGACTGTCTAGTCCTCCCAGTTCAGGTGTCCTCCCAGCCAGGACATTTTAGACTGAGACGGAGTTTTCAAGGTCATCCTGGAATTTATAAGACCCCATAGCCACCATGCAATCTTTTCAGCACTGAGGACTGGAAAATAAAGTAGTCTATAACCATCTATGAATTTAGTTGTATATAAACATTCTTGGATGAATAACTAATCCTAAAGAATGCTTCTTCTGCATCACAAGGTGGCATAATAAGGAAGAAACACTTCATTGCATCATAAAATATCTAATTAATCTTCTCTATGCTAAAGGGAAGGCAGAGAGGGGACAAGTGGGAAAAACAAGCTCACCTCGGGCTACCAACCATTGCCAGATTTCTCCGTGGTGCTATAAGTCCCTGGGTTAGGCAGTGTGTTTCACTTTCTGACTGATCTCAGGGGACCCCTGACACTCCTTATTTGGGTCAGTGATACAGACATTATCAAGAGATGGAAGAAATTACTTGGAAAACACAATAATTTAGAAATGAAATTCTGTAGCCACTGGTGGACCTTGGACAATCTGATGTTGCTCTGATTTGCACTAGGGTGTGGGAGAAAACAATCCCTGTGCTTCTGGCTGTCTTTTTGGGGACTATATCTGCAGGAAAAAATGCAGTCCTCCAGTTTAAACAATACAATTGATCTCATGCTCAGAATGCTGATTTTGTGTTAAGGGCATAGTTTATCTCAAACTGGAGAAAAATGAAAATATCTGAAAATATAACATTTTGTATTATAACTTTGGAAGCAATATCTATTGTTAGTTACAACTTTTTCCTGGGTTTTATCAGAGAGCCAGTTTTTAAGGCTTTAAATTAATCATTTAGATGTATGTTTTTAATGAAAATTCTAATTGTTAACATTTTTACTAGGTAACTGAAAACTTTCCAACAATTTAGGATTTTTAAAATCAAGAGTGAAACAACCATTTATGTACATGTATTTGTATAGAAAACGTCAAACAGACTACTATATCAGAAACTAACAGCGGTTTCCTAGAGGTTGGGATTGTCAGGTGGAGAGGGAAAGCAGAATTGAACTTTTTCACTTCATAGCCTTTGGTACAACCTGATGTTTCTCAGTTTATACCAGCACTTATTGTTTTAATAATTAAAAGAAGTAGATAATAGAAATATCAACATTTTCTAACTTATATATGCATAATCTTCATAATTGGTAGCTATAAGTTTTCTTCCCTTTAAGGTCTCTTGTCCAAAATCACAGTACACCCACACATTAATAAGTTGTACATACCACTCTATCCAAAGGTGTGTAAGTGGCCTTGAAATCATAATGCAGTCCGTTCCCTGCAAGGCCAGATGTTGACTGAATCACAGCGCAATGCACATGGGTAATAATCCAGAAAGTTCAGAAAGAAAAGAAGGGTCAGCAGACATTTTTGTGTGTGCAGATTTAGACATGGAGTAATGTTATGTTGTTGTACCTGTTTTCTGTTTCTGTATATTTAACATTTGATTATTCAAAATCATATTACTTCGCCTAACACATGATGAGAACCCGCTAATAGAGGTTTCTTTTTTTTTAATTTTTCAAAGTGTAACAGTTCTCCAGAGTAATTTATTTTTTCCCAAGTAAAGTTAAACCTGATTCTAGATGTTAGCCTCAATGTGAGGCAATATCTCTGGGAAATTTCCAAAAGACTTTTCCTTTAAAAACAGTCTTAATAGAGACATTTAGTGTTTCATTAGGTTGTCATTTATGAACCCCATGTTCACGACAGCTGAATTTTACTCTGTGACCTTGGGCAAGTTGTTGAATCTCACAGAGCTTCAGTTTTCTCTTCTTTGAAATGGGGCTGATGATAGGACCTAGTTCATAAGGTTATCATGAGGATTAAATGTGATACTGCACGCAAAATGCTTAAAGTCGTCTGTGACACATAGTAAACACTCAATGAATATTAACTTATTTTGCTTGTAGTTTCACTGTTATTTAATAATTTTTAACATTTCCCAGCATAAACTCTAACTTTTAAATTACACTGCTTTCACACTTAGTAGAGGATAAAGGAGAGTATATTCTTCTCAGCTTTGATATTACTAGTTTAATTTTAACTCCTAGAACAATTAATGTCATCTTTTCTGCTATGTCACATAAATAAGATCAACTGTGAATTACATTTATTTTAATTCCTGCATTTAATATGTATCAGTCAGCTAACATTTATTTAGCTTACGATAGCTAAGTACCACTAAGCATAGCAATAGTAACAACAAATACATATTTAAAATGGTCATGCCTTAACATAATCCTGACATGTCAGAAAAGGACATTCAACAATTAAATTTGTAAAGTACTGTTTTCCACAGAATGAAAGGAAACTCATATTCTCATGCTCTGCTGTGTAATTGTAGACTTAAAGGTAGCTAAATAATTTTTTAAAATGCACTTCCCAGAGAAATAATGGGATGACTACCTTAATAGTATCTTAGGTAAATGAAATACACACTACTTTGCAAATGGAGTTTGAGGCTGGAACTTAGACTAGCCTCAGCGAGGCGAGTTAGACTGCAATCAGTCGAGTGGGTTTCAATAAAGAGAGTGATTTAAACAGAAGATGCATTGCGTAGGGGTTCTTTTGAACTCCTGCTCCCGAGAGCCTGGAGCTGCAGCGCGCAGCCAGCTGTACGGTACCTTGATCAGGTGGTGCCCCACCGCGTAGACGGCTGCTGCATCTCCCTTCTCCCCGGGGGCGTGCGTGCCTGTCCCGTACCCGTGCCAAGCCACCAGGTACGGATTGTGAATTGTAATCCAGTATTTGACGCGGTCCCCAAACGTCTGGAAGCAGTACGTGGCATAGTCATTGAAGATATCTATTATCGTTTCATTTTTCCAGCCCCCGTATTTTTCTTGGAGTGCCAAAGGCAAGTCCCAATGGTATAAAGTCACTATAGGTTCAATGTTTCTAAGCACCAGCGCGTCCAGCAGAGCATTGTAGTACTGGAGACCTTTCGCATTGGCAACCGCTACTATTCCTTCGGGGAAGAGCCTTGGCCAGGAAATGGAAAAGTGATAAAAAGAAACTCCTATGAAATCCAGAGCCAGTAAATCTTTGTCCAGAAAAATGTAACTGTCACTGGAACTATTCGTGCTGTTGACATTTTTAAGGTGTGTCTGGGTGAACTGATCCCAGATAGAGGGACCTTTTCCGTCTGTCTTCCAACTTCCTTCCACTTGAAATGCTGCAGTCCCAACGCCCCAGAAAAAGTTTTCAGGAAAAGTGTCATAGAGGAACAGCTGACTTTCATTTACCGGGCTAAGATTAGTGTTGTTAGACCATATAGCTCTTCCGTCCCCGCAGTACCCAGCAACAGCCCGCAGGAGAACGAACGCTGACAGGATGACGGATCTTTGCAGCGCCCCGCCGGACATCGCTTCCCTATAGCGCCCGTTCCTGGCATCAGTGCTGGAGGAAACCCATTCATTCCCTGGAGACCCCGCCGCGCCGCCTGGCTTCATTTGCCACTAACTGCCGCGCTGTCTTATCGACGCCTCAGTAAAAGCTGGTGATTGTAAAGCTCTGTCAATGATTAGCTTGAAGTGTGAGACTTAGGATGGGTCACAGAGAGCAACGTAACTGGAGGGAGGTGGCTCTGTTACGGCCACCAGCGGACTTCTTTCTCTTATTCTGGGAGATATTAGATGAAAATGAACTAGTGGCAATAGTTTGAATGTGTAATAAAGCCTATATAAACAGTGAGTAAAAATGCCGTATTTTCTCTGTAGCCATTCATAAGGACCCAAACCTTTTCTGATTTTTCGAACATGATTGCGACCATATATGCATTTTTAAAACATTTTTATAATTTGTGAGTCATCGTTTTATTATTTCACATTTCAGGAAAAATAATCTCATATGCAAATGAATAACATTCCTATATACCAATTATAAGGAATTAGAAAGTGTAAGATTTTTTTCTTTTTTTTTAATAGAATGCTTCACGAATTTTCGTGTCATCCTTGTTCAGGGACCATGCTAATCTTCCCTGTATCGTTCCAATGTTAGTGTATGTGCTGCCAAAGCGAGCACAGAAAACATAAGATATTTCACTTCCACAAAATTATAATACATCTAAGAATAATCTTATTGAATGTTACCTAATTTAAGAAAATTATTCAAATATATTGATAAATTTGAAAGAAAATGAAGAAATATATAGCACTTTTTATGTGGAAACACTGAACACATTCCCATTTAATTTATAAATTTAATATGCTTTTAATCCAAACCCTCTAATCCCAAATTTTAGTTAAACAAAATTATTATGAAAGTTTACTTGAAGAATAAATAGGATAATGACAAAAAATCTCAAAAAGAAAATAGTGAAAGAATAGACTACCTTCATATATGAAAACATTTTAAAAAAGCACAATTTAAAAAGCATGACTCTGGAATAAGAATAAATGGAAAGAAACATTGTACAGAATCTACAGCCTCCAAATAACCTTGAAAAAGTCAATGTTTTAAATACTTGACATATCACATACTGATGAGAGTCAGAGTGGTTAATAGTTTGGCTTCTGGAGTTAGATTGCCCAAGTTTCAGTACAGCTGTGTGACTAGAAAGAAGTTGCTCAACTTTCCTGCACCTCAGTTTCTTTTATGTAAGACCAGCCATAGTACTGGCATGTACTGCACGTGTTATTGTGAGAATTAAATACATGTAAAGCACTCAGAAAAGAGATGGACGCATAGGAAGTGCCCGATAAACATTACTCCCATTATTTTTACGGGAAAGGGAAAGACCATTCAAGAAGTGATACTGGGATAAAAGAGAGGATAAGTGATACTTAGCATAAAAGCCAGGGTTTGGGTCCCTGCCTACATTGTTAGCTTCATTTTTCATTAGTTAACTACACGTAGCGACTTCCTTCTAGCCACAGCAAATGCCTTTTAATACCCAGGGTGTGAGTGAGGAAGACAAGACACACGCCTCACTCGCTCACACCCTGTGCCTTGTTACGTGTGTTCTCTGCATAGGAAGGGTCTCCCCCACTTTGCAAGCTCATGTCTGTCTGTTTTCAAAACTCTAGTACCTCCCTAAAGCCTTTCTGACTCCCTGGTTTCATTTTACTCACTTATTTAAATTTTTAAAAACTGTTGACAGTTTATTAATCCCCTTGTGAAAAGTCCACAGGAGCATGCAGATAAAGGCACTGTAGAATCTCGGCTCCCCCTGCTGTCCCCTCTCCGGCTCCCTTTTTGCCAGCACCAACCTTGGCCTTAGAACCTCCTGACTTGCTTCATTCTGTTCTTGTGACCCTTTCTCCGTTTTCTTGAGGCCCGTTTCTTCTCGTACAGGCCGTGTCTGGCAAGTCTGTGTGTAGGTGCATTTCTCGTGTGTGTAGCCCAAGGAACCGCAGTCTTGCCACCACCCAATGGGCTCTGAACCCAAATACAGAGGTGATAGCTGGTGTGGTCTTGTACATCTTGGCTAGCCTTTTCCACATTTCTGTCTTAGACACTGCATCTTTCTCAGGGTGAAGGGTGCCAGTGACCATCGGTTTCTGTCGAAGTAGTCTGTTGGTCACACACTCCCTGGGGCCAGCAGTTACTCTGCGGTGGTGGTCGATCCGCAGGCAGCCAGGGAGGCAGGAAGCCAGTTTGATTGGACTTAGATGGAGCTCTGTGGTGTTCCCCTGGCAGCTGTGCTTTCTCTATTATGACAGTTTTCACACAATAAATCAATAAATAACACACTAAATTTACCAGTATCCTCGGTTCAAGGGTTCTCTCTCTCCTTCTTTAAAAAACATGGACCGTGACTGTCTGGTTGAGTGTTGAATATAGGGGGCCTAGTAATCTCTAAAGCACATGTTGAATGAATGAGTGTACCTATAGTATATACTGTGTATGCCTCTATCACTGCATTTATCACAGAATCCTAGAATTGTTTGTCTCCTCCACTAGACCGTAAGACTATCTCTTATCTAAATTTGTATAATTGCTTATCATAGTAAATGCTTAATCATTGTTTATGGAATGAATGCAGTTGGCACAATTAACTCATTATAAAATAAAATTTTTTCACGTTTATTGAAATATAATTGACATATAACATTGTATTAATTTAAGGTGTACAACATGAAGATGTGTTATGTGTATGTACCACAAAATTATTACTAAAATAAAATTTTTAAATGTAATCACTTATACCCTCACAAATATATCTAATTCAAAACTATATAGCCACAGAAATGTTAGGGTGGTAAATTTATGTTATGTGTATTTTACCAAAATTAAATAAATGTAGCCACAGGAAACTAGAAAAAAATAAAAGTAAATGTTAAGTTATATAAATATATAGTTTATTATGGTCATATATAAATAATTTAGCTATAAGTAAAATACAGGGTCTGGCAGAAGTAAGTCTTGCTTGAGTGTGGTTGGTAAGGTAATAATATGGATGTAATAATTTATAAGTTTCAATTTGAACATTTCACCTAAATGTCATATGGTGTGCTTGAGTGTGATATTATTATGTTACAGAATTTCATGCTTATGATTTTGTAATAAAATATTGTGTAGTAAAAAAGGAGTACATCCTATACTGTGTCCAGCACTGTATATGAAAAATAAAAATTGAGAGATATATAACAAACTCGGATCCTGGCTGTTATGGCTTAGTGAATTGAGTACTGGTCTGAGAACCAGAAGGTCACTGGTTCGATCCCAGTCAGGGCACATGCCTAGGTTATGGCCAGGTTCCTGGTTGGGGGCATGTGAGAGGCAACCACACATTGATGTTTCTCTCCCTCTCTTTCTCCCTCCCTTCCCCAGTCTCTAAAAATAAATAAATAATATCTTTAAAAAAAACAAAATTGGAATATGTTTGAGCAAATCTAGAAGTCAAATGGATAGCTTTTCACTTATATGCAATTCATGGTTACCAATAAGGAAAACACTGTAAGTTTCTAACAGGTAAATGGCCAGACAACACAAATAAAAAATATACAAAAGAGGAAATACAGCTGTATAGGCAAATTAAAAAAATGTAAGTCACCAGTAATTAAAAACACATAAAAATAACTGTAAAATCATCAAAAATAAAAATAAGTTATGAAAATCAATGTTGATACTTACATTTAAAAATTTATTTTTTATTGAATTCATTGGGGTGACATTGGTTCACAAAAATCATACAGGTTTCAAGTGTATAACTCAACAAAACATTATCTGTACACTGCATCATGTACCCATTGCAGCAAGCAATGTTCTTTAGTATGTGGATGGGGACAGTGGCATACCCAATAGAGTGGAAAATTATTCAGCAATGAAGAGAAATGAGCTATCAGGCTAGTAAAAGACATGGAGGTGCCTTAAATGCACATTGCTAAATGAAAGAAGGGCTACATACTATATGATTTCAGCTACGTGGTAATCTGGAAATAGTAAAAACAGTGGTTACCAGGGACTAGGGGAGAGAGGGAGGAATAGGCAAACCACAGGAGATTTTTAATGTAGTGAAACTATTTTTTTGTAGGATATAGTAATAGTGGTGATACATTTATCAAAACCCATAGGATGTACAACACAAAAAAGAACCCTAGTGTAGACCTATGAACTATAGTTAATAACAATGTATCAAATTGGATGATCAATGATAACAAATGTATCACACTAGTGCAAGATGTGAAAAATAAGAGAAATGAGGGAGTGAAGGAGTATATGGGAACTCTGTAACCATGTATAATTGCTCAAGAAAAAGTCTATTAATTAATAAAAGGCTATTGACATGGGCTAAGTTTTGAAATGCGTGCTGAATTTTTATTTACTAGTGACCAATCATTAAGCTATCAGGTTTCATATAAGAAAACAAAAAAGAGACTTCTGGTCAAGATGGCAGCATAGGTAAACATGGCTCACCTCCTCCCACAACTGCATCAGAATTACAATTAAAATGTAAAACAACCATCACTCAGAACCATCACAAATCAAGTTGAATGGAAGTCTGACAACTATAGAATTAAAGAAACCACATCTTCCCTGGCTGGTGTAGCTCAGTGAATTAAGCATAGGCTGCGAACCAAAGGGTCGCCAGTTCGATTCCCAGTCAGGGCACATGCCTAGGTTGCAGGCCAGGTCCCCAGTGGGGGCCGAGTGAGAGGCAACCACACACTGATGTTTCTCTCTCACTTCCTCCCTTCCCCTCTTTCTAAAAATAAATATCTAAAAAAAAAAAAAGAAAGAAAGAAATCACATCCATCCAGAGGGGTGGAGATGTGGACTGGGATGGTCCCTCACCCATGCGTTATGGATAGAAATTTGGGAGGGTAATCTGGAGCTGGGAGTCCCTCCCCATACGAGGCCCCAAAGCCCAGGGTTCCAGTGCCAAGAAGATAAGTTCCTATAACTTCTGGCTATCAAAAACACTGGAAAATGAGTGATTGGAAACCTAAGCAGTTTCTCTTAAAGAACCCACACACCGACTTACTCAGACTCACTCCCTCTGAGCTCCAGCACTAGG